CTTCTAATTTTTATTTTCAGAAAGAATTGTTGCTGCATAACATTTAGAGAAGGTTGTGTAAATTATGGATGAATAATTTCAGAAACAATGTTTAATAGAGGAGAGGAGGGGGTTATGGAATAGTCATGGAAAATGGAATACCTAAGATTTAGCTCTGTCTTTCATGCAGCCTTCACATGGAAATACACAGGATTAAAGGATTTTACCATTAACACCTCATTACCATTAGTTATAGATTGTGCTGAAAATGATTTTGTGAATTAATATGTAAAAACAGTAGGGTTGTTTTTAAAAAAATATAAAATTTAGTCCATAATACATATACTCTCTTCTCTCTCTATATAGGCAAAGCATTTAGGTATTATATTTGAAATTAATTATTGCCACAACAAGCATTGTTGCTTCTAGTAAAATAGAAGAGAATAAATTTTAAAATTGGTCTTAGATTAAGGTCCTTGAAAATTTTGTTGAGGTCCTTGAAAAGTCCTGGAAAGTCCTTGAATTTCAATCTCATCATAGAGTGGGAACCCTGATAGGGGTAGCCGCAGTCTGGGAAATATGGTTCTAATAGTTTGGTCAGAAGAGCGAGCCAAGGTTTGGACCCCTTAATGTTAGTTTTACTTTTTGCGTATTTCAATATATCTGGAGAATTTTAGAAAGGTCAGATATTTAAAATTAGATTTTTCAGGAACTATTCGACCGATTTTGCTCAAATTTTTATTTTGCCTTGTAAAATTATGTCCTTGAAAATGATAAAAAAAATTTTATACTTCACAATTTAAAATTCTTTCGGCCATTATTAAATAAAATGATAAATATTTAATAAAAGTTTTATTTTGCATGGAATAATTTTCGGATTAACGAATTTCATAATTGTGTGCAAAATTTTTTCAATTAGCTTAAAAATTCTCGAGGAGCAGAGAAATACGCAAAAAGTAAATTAAAGGGGTTTAATTTTTGGAGCGCTCTCTTGACCAAACTATTGGGACAATATATTTTCAAGATCACAGTAATCCCCTGTATTTTGAGGGTCAGAAATCCGAATCCGACGAAAAAAGGTATGTTTATTCAGAGAAAGTACGTTTTTGTACCTGATTTCGTAATTTAAAATATCGTCTGTACTTATCATGTACCCCTCGTGCGTCTTTACCACTCGAGCCATTAAAATTGAGTCAAAAAACGTGAAGATCCGATCATTAGATCAAAAGTTATTCAGGGTGGGTCGACTTTATTTTTGACGCACTGCACACTACCCAACAATAAAGGAAGAGATACTTTTACTTTTAGGCATTTTTTAAAAAGAAATTTCTTAAGGAAGACGAAGAGGATTATTTTTTTAACTTAAAAGGTGTTTAGTTCATGCGACTTTTCCTACTTAGAAATAAGGTTTAACATTTTCAGATGCTTGAGGGACCAGAAAGAAAACAAGTATTTTCAGACACTTTATACCAAAAAACAAGGAAATAAACTTGTAACTTATATAAATTACTTTAGTTGTTATTTGCAGTTACTGCATAAAATTTCGTGAACTTATCTTAAATATTTATAGAGATATGGACATTTTTACAAAAAAACCTATTTTTTTGTCTTGCTTTTTTTTGCTAAACATTGAAAGTATTCAATAAATTAAACAAAACTTTTTGAGTAATTAAAAATTAATTACAAAATTATTTTTTTAAAATTTGAAAAAAGTTTGTTTAAAACTGAAGATATGAGTATTAAGTAGTTTTTTTTTATATTGCGCTTGCGAGAAAAAATAATAATTTTTTCTTCATAATTTTGTAGTGAATCGTGTTTGGTAACTAATGAGGAAAATTCTGACTTGAATATCTTGAGAATTTAAAAAATTTCAATCAATTTTCAAAGCAGTCTTTGTACTTTTAAAAGAAAGCTTAAAACGATAAAGGGTTTTCCGTAATTTTTATTATAGGTTATTAAAGGGTAGCAGAATTCACCTGGTCTCAATAACTTGTGTTTTTGAGATCGCGATATTATCGTTTTGTTATCATTTTCCTAATATTTTGTATTTCCATCATATAAAATTCCACTCGATTTTTGCGAACTATTTCTTGAGTTATCAGCGAAAATGTGATAGTTTCCTAGTAAGGACACGGTCGAGTGTGTTATCATTTTCAAGATTACATCACATGGAATTGTGTGGAGCAGAGAGAAAATACGATATATGTGTTTTGGAGGGAAAAATATTTCTGAAATGTTCGAAAGAGCTTTGGTGTTGTATGGTTTGTTGTTGATAGGACTATAATATAATTTGTATCTTAAGCTAATGTGTCGATCATTTAATGTTTCAAAAAAAACATGCATAATCGCAGCAAAAAAAATGTACAGACCAGTGGATAAACATTATTTTATTAGGATGGTAATGCAATATACATATATGGAATAATTATTATAAAATTCTATAGTATGCCAAGTTTCTTAACTAGTGTTAAACAACATGTTGAGTAAATTTTATGGTCCCCGTTATTTGGGCTTCTCATATGCCGATATTTTTACAAAATCATTTTCAAAAATTTACATTCTCTACGTAGCCTTTTGTAGTACCATGTCTGATAGGAAAAAAAAAAACGATTTTTATTTCAACGACATTTAGATAAATTTTTGCTGTCGGGTAATTGATTTTAAAATTTAAATACTTAATAGCAATATTTATTATATGTTTCAATATCATTTGACATTTTCAGCGTAATATCGAGATTCGCTGTATCATTTTTTCATTAGGTTGTTACTTTTTTAATGCTAAGTAACAAAGTCATGATTTTCGATTATGGAATTGTAAACTACTTTGTAATTATAACTACTTTTTCCTAATTTGTTCATGACATTTTGAATTATGTGTTTTGAAATTGAACTAATTGTTATCGCAAATGAGGGAAGCAATAAATTTGCTATGTCGCGTTTACTATTCCTTTATGGGTAATGTTCGACTATTTGCTGAGCATTGTCAATTAAATGAACAGACATCTTTACGATATTACGATAACGCAGACATCTCACATAGATAGCGTATCATTTTTCTCGACACGGTTTTCCAAACCAGTCTGGCATAGTACGTGAAATTCGCCACAACGTGTTTTTAGTAATCCACAAATTCGATTCATTTTTTTTTTCCTTTCAAAGCATAATACTACGAGAGGCTACTTTCTTTTAAGGGGTCAGTCAAGTTTTTTCCCCAACATATCTTTCAAATATATAGACTAAAGATGGATGGTTTAGCCAGATATAATTTTCTAATTTTTGTCTAAGGTTCTACAGATATATTGAAAACTTGTATAAAAGTTTGACAATATACGAATAAAATTTAGTTGAAATAATGCAATAATAATGAATAATTAATTATTTAAGATTAATGGGGTAAAATGTGATATTATGTATCATAACTAGTAGTTATTAATGTATGCATTAAAATCTTTCATTAAGTATGATCTATTTTTCAAAACAATAGGAATATAAATGTAATGAAACATGTTTCACTTATTTTAATTATGATGAATATTTTTCTGTTTATTTTAGTATTTTCATTAAAAAATATATTTTGCTAGAAATGTTATTTTTTTCATAAATGGTAATCATTATTTAATCAACGTTTAAAAAACATTTCCTTCACTAGCATAGTTCAATTTAAAAAGAATGATTTCTGTTTTCATTTAAAGTAATATTAACAACTACCAATAGGAATGTATATTTATCATGGTTTTATCAAAAAAGATGATTATGTGAGCATTGTGAATATAAATATGAAGCACGAGATGATATAGGAATTCACTACGTTTGCGAGAATTGAAAAAATTCAGAGTGTTCTGAAATCATAGTCCTTGCAATAAATTTTTAAGAAAACTTGTTAAAAATGAACATATTATAAATCGATTATTAATATTCAAGTGAAAGCAAAGAAAAGAATGACTTGATTAAAACCAAATAAAAATTGTATCCATCACTGTAGTTGTGTGTGAGTTTAAAGAGGGAGTTTAAATCTTACAAACCAGTTTATTTGCCAGATAAAAGAGATAAATAGTTGTCACAAGTTTTGTTGGTATAGATAATTAAGTTAAATGAAAAAATTTAGATAGCTAAAATCTTTTTAAATCTTTTTTTTAAAACTACCTTAAATTAAACTTAAACTTAAGGATTCATTATTTTTAAACTACCGGATTTTTCTATCAAATATTCAATTTATACAGACAATATAAATCTCTCATTAATTCATTTCCGGCCAGTATGCTAAAAAATGCAAATAGAGGGAGGTGTTTTGAGAACACTATGCATAATTTAATTAAGTCATATATTGCGAACACATTAAATTTAACAGTATCATTTTTAATAAATAATGATTTAATATTATACAAATATGAAAATGGCATTGATAGCTACAAGTGAATGTAGAGTTAGTTTTTTACGTAATAAAACAGTAATTAATGCATATTAATAATTACATAATTTTAAATTATTTTCAAATTGTATATAATCTCAATTTTATTAAAAATTATTAATTGAATCAAAAGGTATAAAATTAAGACGATAGTTGCAAATACATATTTCTTTTAACCAACGAAGTTATACTAACAAGTAAGAGTGATAATGCCGGGTTTTTTTTAAGATGAAATATACAGTTTAATGCAAATTAATAAAATGATTTTTAAGTCATTTGAAAAATTGATGATTATAAATAATTTCATCCTTTGTATATGAATATTTGAAATCAATCATACTTATTAAGATGATATTAATAAATTACTATGTACACAGTAAGCAGCTGTTTCAATTTCATCTAAGCAATTTTTACAAAGATTTACAAATATATATGTATATACAGCTGACAAACGATAATGTGACTTGAAAAAAAAATGCAAAATAAAAAGTCTTTAAGAAATAAATGGGTCACAGCACAGCCTGCGTTTTTAAGATCTTGTTTTTGGTCATAATATTGAATCGTTCTAGAACTGTATTTCAAACACTATCTCCAAAAATAAAATGTTTTGCAGGATCTTTTGAATCAGTTCATGGATCAAATAGTCACGTTTCTATATCATAATAATCTGCACTGAGAAAAAAAGTATGGTAAAATTTACCGAATTTACGTGTTTCTGGCTCTATGGGTGCATGAAACACTAGGCAATTCTTACCGAAGCGCTTTGTTAATGATTTTAGTAAGATCTGCAACAAAACAAAGTTTTATTATTTGTGATAAAAGTTATTTAAATATGGTAAAATTTTGTAATTTTTTCATGATGTTTTACAGCATGGTATAAAAGCAATTTATTCAGTTAAATTTTGTTTTTAAGTTTTATATTTTTTATTAAATATGAGGTAATAAGAACTATAATTTCGATAACTGGAATTTCTGATAAACCGCTACCATATAAGCAGAGGAAATATTACCAAATAAACGGTTTAAATAATGTATATTTTGGTTTTATTACCAAAATTATTTTTTTTAACCAGAAATGTCATTACCATAGAGTGCGCAAATTTTGCCAGATTTTTTTTCTGAGTGGGATCCTATTCAGATCTTTTAGCTTACAGACATTGTATTTAAATAATATAATATATTTTATTTAATAAAAACAGTAGAGTAAAAAAAAATATATTTATTTTCCTTTTTTTTAAAAAATCATATTGCTTAGATTCAAAAATTGACTAGATGTAGTTAAAAAAGACCCATGTCATGGGTTTTTATGCATGACTATGAATCGTGCGATTATACCTAGATACACGAGGGTATTAAATAAAGTATTGGCAACGTAGCCCAGAAATTCCAGAACATCGGGTATGCGCCAACGTTATCGGATCAGTGAGGTAGTGCATTGTCGGCGAGTACATCAACAGAAATGGTAATTGGGTTCTTGCAATTCGAAAAGAAGTAAAGGGAGTAAATCAGCTATGTGATTTAAATCATGTTTATTTGGATACATGAAAGTGATGTTACACGTGAGTGTCAAACTTGATGTGCTTCTGAATTCGACAAATGCCACGATTTACCTACGATGATGTCACTTTTAAGTAACCAATTGCTGGGTGAAGATAAAATGGACATCTTCGTTTCTATTGTCCTAAATCATGTTTAGAACATGATCAATTGTCTTCGAATGAAATTAAGGTTACCCTTGGCAAAAATGTATTACAATCTGATGCATATTATATTATATTACCGTCGTTGAACAGACGTCCCAATTTTTAGAGTTTATGGCTACTAATGTTCAACTCTGTAGTCTTGAAATTTTGACTGGCGAGTATGTGTAATTGCTTAAGACAGTTGCATGATGGGTCAAAGCATTTACTATTGGTCAGACTGAGACTGTAGATTTGCATCGCACAGGCTGGCCATTCATTTTTCTACATACTCATCAGACTTGAGTCCACGATTGAGTTTTTGTTATACTGAAAAAACGCCTTTCAGATTTTGTAGGGTGTTCCGTTGGCAAATCACAATTTTCCAATGGTAACCTACGGCTTCCTGATGTCTGACAAAAGGTACAAAAAAACAGTAGATAGGTATAGATGATAATAACGAAAAAAAATGCAATGTAGTTTGGCTCATATGTTCATTAATATTATCCAGGCATGTTGCTATTACTTCATTTACAATCCTCGTATAAGAATACTTGCCAAGTATTAAAGCATTTTAAAATAATAGCTAAAATGTCTTAAGCGCATACAATATTATTCTCTTTTGAATAGATATGATAGCTAATAGCCTTTCATAAAATTAAAACAGTATTTAGTATCTCATAACACAGATCTAAATATGTTTTTCATCATATTACATTATGTTATTTGCTTGCGCGCAATGAAAGCACGCATGCGCAGAGTTATAGTTTTAATATGATTAATAATACCTTTGAAATAATATTCCAAAGAATTGTACTGCACGTGATGAGACAAGCACAGCTTGCCTCAGTATAGTTTCAACTTATAAATAGAGAGTTATGGGAAAGTAATGGTCACATGTTCGGAGTTTGACTAGTTGAAATAGGTTCTAATGATATACTGTACAAAAATGTACCACTGTCTCCTTTATGGACGAATAATTAGATAAATAATAATTTCTTTCTCTTGGTTCCATTAATTGAAATCAGATTTGCGCCTGCCAAAACGTTCCTGAAAGAAATAGAAGACATTAAAAACAAAATTTTATTTTGTCACAAACATTTAAAAACATGAGCTATATATTTGAAAATGTTTGTTAAGTATAATTGTAAAAAAGAAATCGAACTGAAAATATTAGTATATAATTAATATGTAATCATACAAATGTACTCCGGGGCAGAATGTCGAAAATACGGCGACATTGTGGCAGAGCGTTACAGAGTTCTTACAGAAAGATTTTTCTCTTGGGAAGTAAATAATTTTGGTTTTTTACTTCAAATGGACTTGAAGTAAAACTGAAGTTTGGTTTTTTACTTCTTTGATTGGTTACGTCAAATTGGAATAGCGCATTTATTTAAATAATCACATTTTGACGCTCTCAATTTACGCTGATAGTATCGGAAATCCATGTAGTGTTTCGATTGTATTTTCGGCAGGTATTGATATTGATTTTCACGTGGTTTTTAAATATCCCGATATATTTCAAACGATATTATTTATTACAACAATCAAATCTTGAAACGAAACACACCTTTTAGTAACCCCTTTTTTAAGGAGTCCGATTCCCGTGATTTCGTCGTCGAGCTGTTTTCTCGGTATAATTACTGCTACGGGTTTCATGATTTTTAACCACTTTTTTTAAAATGATGATGATTCACAAAATGCGATGAAGGAAATAATTAGTGCTTCTCCCCCTCCCTAACAAAATGCGAAAATATCGCCCATAATATTAAAATAAAAAAAATATTACATAGTCAATTAAGAATTTTTTTTTTGTTTTGTAAAAATATTCTGTTGCACAGCGTTTTTGTTATTTTAAATTAGTAATATGCATTTTTGTTGTTATTAAAAATATCTTGTTGAACGATATTAGTGCTAGAGAGTTCGGTCACAAATAGTCCGCAAAAATTCTGCAACAGGTCATATGCATATACACCGAAGTGCCATTACATTATGACCACCCTCCATGTATAACAATGTGCTCGCCCAGGAACAATGTTTTCAAGGGGCACATTAGGACCCATAATCCCCATAGAACAATCCCTGACGTCTGTAAGCTACTTGAACATAGTTGCAGACCAGGTTCACCCATTCATGGCAACAGTTTTTCCTGAGGGGGATGGTGTTTACCAACAGGATAATGCACCATGTCATAAAGGTCAAATCGTCATGGATTGGTTCGAGGAACATTCCAGTGAGTTTCAAGTCATGTCTTGGTCCCCAAATTCATCTGACCTTAATCCATTAGAGCATTTGTGGTCCTACTTGGAAAATCAAATTAATTGCAGGACCAGTTGGTGAGCGCTTGGTACCAGATACCTCAGACTACCTATCAGCACCTTGTGGAATCAATGCCATGGCAGGTGCTAGCAGTTTTGAGGGCCAAAGTTGGTCCTACATGTTATTAGCAGAGTGGTCATAACGCAATGGCTCTTCGGTGTATAGATTACTTGAAAATTTGACGAACAACTCAGAATAATGTACGAAAAAGATAAGCACAAATCAAGTGCAGAAAAGGAGATACAATAATTACGGTTCTTTAGGTAAGAATCTTCTTCAGTGTCTTAACACCAAAAGACAAGGTGTTAAGACACCGAGAAAGGTTCTTGTCTAGGAAACCGAAACAATAATTACATCTTTCTTTTTTTGTACTTGATTTGTGCTTTATTCACTTCGTTTTTTGACTTTAATCTACGTAGTACAAATTATACTCGTTGGGGATCACAAATATGTGCTTAAAAAAAAAGAGAAACAAAAGCTTCTTCCAAATATTCGTTTGTGTTTAAAGCATTTCAAAGCTTAACTTATCATGAATGAAGGAGGTGATATTAAACACATTAAAATATGTTTGATTGCCTGTGCAAATTGAAAGGATGTGAAAGGAATCAAACTGGTTTTGATATTTTTAAACCTCACTTTTAAGGGATTCTTCCAGTTTTCTTTATCCCTCTTTTTGTTCGAATATTTATTCATGGCTCCTAATACGCATAATTTTTTAACTACTTTTTTGATTCCTGATATGGGTTCAAAAAATATATTAAGATCAGTGATTATGTAGGATTCGTATAAAATAATTTAAATAATTAACATTAAATACCTGTGCCACTTGAAGAAAGCTAGGCCTTTGTTGCGATGTAGGAGATTCTTGAACTTTAAGATTCGGAGTGGACACCACAAACCCATGATGTGATATAGTCGGAGTTGCAAGAGGGCGAGTTGTAGACGCAGATGACAGTACTGTATTCAGACTAGATCTTCTGCTGGTAGACGACGTGAGAGTCAATCGACGTGGTCGACGCAATTCACCATCCATATCTTCGTCCTAAAATATTAAGTAAAAATTTTTATCAAGGGAAAGAGATATTTTTGCAGTTATTTTATAAATTCTAATTGCATAAGAGCTACTCATCAGTTGTCTGCTGTTCCATAAATATGTTTTAACCCAAGAAATCTATTTTTCTTTATCTTAAATATAAAAAATTACAAATTTAGAAATGCAGAGTGCGCGAAAAAATGGTCGCTTAAAGTTTGTTCAAAAAGTTTTTAATAAAAAGCAAAATATGAAAAAAGTGAAATTAACATAAAGGGGTCTAAAAGTTGGTCAGCTCAGGGACTCAAATTTTGGGGGACAAAATGGGGAACGTGTTTATACCGAAAAAGTGTCTGATCTCGTCCCAAGTAGCTCCTAATATTAGCTAACATCAGAAAATCGGTAAAATCTAACGTTATCTTACACAACTTCTAATATTAGAAAGATTCAAGAGGTCGCTGTTTGCTCTGCATTATATAATATTAGATTCTATGCAAACTGATATTGTCTAGCGTTCACCGTAATATTACTTTGCATTAGTTTTAAAGCTATATAATATTAGATTTTGTATTTTCTGATATTTTCTTGCTTTGCTCTTTATTTTTGGAGTAAACAAGAGGAGGATTTGGATGGTAGTAAAATAATTCGGCAATATAATTTTACTTAATTTTCTGTATTGCTGTGAAGCAGTAAAACATAGAACAATAGTTTTATAATGTCATTCCATGTATTATTTACATAGCAATACTGTAAAATACTGTCTGCACTAATTAATTAACATTTTTGAGGTCACCTCTTTAAACCATTAAGATTGAGTGCTAGTGAGTGAAGATTCGATCATTGAATCAAAAGTTATTCAGAATGGTCTGGTTTTTTCAGACCCTGTTCATCAATGTTTTTAAAGTTTTTTTCCTTAAAAAAGTTTCAAATATGTGGATTGAAGTTTTAACATGTTTATATATATATATATATTGTGCCTGNTATATATATTAAAAGAGAATATTAAAACTATCAGTTCAGAATTTTTCTCATCTTGTTCCGGTTTAACTTATATGGTTTTAAAAATCGAAATTGTAGTGCTTAAATAGGAAAATAAAATTATTAAGTTGATTGACAGAAGTAGTATTCATATTTTGAAGAAATGATAAACTATAGCAATTGTGGTCGGAATAATTTTTATTCAAATTTTTTTTAAATATATTTACCATTTTATTATTTGAAAGAAAAGAAATAGACGAAATGAGACAATTCGGTTTTCGCGGGTCATATGGTCCATTTTTGTGACCATAAAAACTTAATATAATTTTACAAAAATAAATAAAAGAGACAACACATAGAACTTCCACCTTCTTCCTCGTTCTGCACCATTTATAGTTTCAGTATTAAAATTTTCAAAAATTAATAATTTTAATTCAGGAAAAATATTTGTTAAAAGTAACCAAATTCTGAAATTGTTAATTGGCCCAACAAAACCCTATATAATTTTGATAAAAAAACTACATTAAGTACTATTAACACATTCATACAATAGATTACGTTTAACAAATTATCCAATTCTTAAAAATATATTTTTATTACAGTTTTTATTAATGAGCATAATAAAATCATACGGTTTTTTTTATGAAACTTTTGCATTTGAAGTATTTTTTCGTTCCTTCAATTAATTAAAATGTAAGTTGATGTTGATTTTTTGTATTAGAATATAAATTATCAATATTTATATGAAATTGTTTATTAAATTATATACAACGTTTTTATAAAATTAAATGCGACATTTAATTTATGAATGAAAACAAAGTTATTGAAAACTCCTAAAAATTCTAAGTTTTGATTTATAGTTTTAAAAATTAAAACGCTACGTTAATTTCATAAATATAAAATAAGAACAAACTTTATGCGTTAAAAATAAATTTATGCTCAAACAATGAACTGTAAAATCATAAACTAATGTACTCTATAAATAAATTTGGTATATAAACTATAAAACATAAAACAATTCTGACAGTGCGTAAACAGACAATTATAAATGTATTGCGTAATTTATAAAATATCTGCTTACCTCCCAAGAAATAGATTTATTTAATGAGTTCTTGTAATTAAAAGATAAACTTTATTAAATGGCTGGGAATAGCTAATTTAAACTATGGTGGAAGAAATGTGAGAGCTTTGTAAGAGAAGATTTAGAATTTCAGAGAAAGTCTCTTGGCAAAATTACCATAAAATAGAAAATATCAACAAAAGTCTCCCCCTACTTAATTCCTTAAAAGGTCAATACATCTGTTTTCCTAGAAATTCTAGATAATTGCCTGTTTGAGGCAATTTTTGAATAGATAGCCAACAAAGAGATTTTTGTCATTATCGTTTTAATCATGGGGTAATTACTCTAATAGAAAGTTCTAAGCTTAATAAAAAAATGTTTGCCGCAATGATATAAGTCTCAAATTTCTGACACATTTTTCTCATAAGATAAAGAAAAAAAATAAAAAGGTTTCATTTCGAAAATTTGTGATCTCGGGGAAATTAGGCTAATGAACAGTTATACCATGCGTTTTACCAAGACAGAAGTTTCAAATTTGGACCATTGAGATACTTTATAATATAAATAAAGAAACTAAAAATTTTCATTTTGATATTTTGTGATTATCTCGGTAATTATGAGGTTAATTAGCTTAGTTGATAGTAGATCTAAGTGACTAGTTTTTTACCAAAATTGAAGACTCAAATTTAGATCACACATTCCTTACAAGACAAATAGGAAAAAAAATTTTGATTTCCATATTTTTCAATAAACAGGATATTTTGTAACAATCGGAGCAATAAGGGGTAAATAGCCTAATTGACAGTAATGCTTAAACGAGCTTTTTCCAAAAGAGAAGCCTCAAATTCAGATCATGAAGAGAAAAAATGAATTTGAGCGAGAAAAAAACTATAACAGTTTAATTTAGATAGTAATTATCGGTATACATAAGGGGTAATTACTCAGAGTTGACAGCATTGTAAAATTACACCTATCATGTTAATTAGCTAAGCTATATAACACGTTCGTTCCAGGGAATTACCACCGCGTGTTTGGCGCAGAGTTATCGATTTTGGCTCTCGTGCAATTACACCACGAATAGGTGAATTCAGGCAGTTGGAAGACTATGTGGAGCAGCAAAACGGTGATTATGTTTGGGAGGGCTAACAGCTCACTACAGATAAGTCCGGGAAAGATTTCTAAGATACTAATGCCGATAATTTAGAGCAATATTGCCGAAGGCAGCAGGAAAGAGTAAGGAGTCACGAAGCAGTGAGTTCGTGCAACGGAAGGATAATAAGAAATCGCAAAGCGGTGAGTTCGTGCACGGGAAGGACGACCTGGAAACGCTAAGCGGTGAGTTCGTTTAGACGAACCAGTTAGTCTCTGAAGGAGGCTAGTATCTATCTATCCATATTTATATCTGTATATTTACTTGTCCATCCACGAAAGTACCATCGGCCAGAGATTTTCTTCTTCTCAGTTCCCTCATGAGTTCTGAAAATTCCTCCCTCAATTCATCCAATCTTTGCAACATTTTAACTTCAGGACAATTGCTGTCGTCAGCAGGAATGTCAAAATCTCGATCACCAATAGCTGCACTCAGTTGCTGAGTAACTTCATGGATTTCTTCTTGAACGGAATGTAATTTCTGTTGCAGCTAAAATTAAAAGAGCAATTATTTATTTACAATATTTCAAAGATGTTTTATTTTAAAAATAAAATACTCTCAACATAAAGAAAAACATCTCATTCTCATTTCAAAAACACGTCTGTGCCTACAATGTGGTACTTTCTGTATTGTAAATTTCAGCAGTTTGGGGGTATTTTCTTGAAAACTATTTCAACTTAAATTTCAAATGATATGCTTCTGAGCTTTGCTTAAAGACCTTGTTTCTTTTATGTTAAAAAAAATAAATAATCGTGAAAGAAAATTTAAGAACATGGAAAACGTTCTTAAATTTTCTTTCTGTTTCTTTCTTTAAATTTTCTTAAATGTTTTGTGGTTGCGCTAGTTTCATGCAGTTTGGTGGCATATTGGATTCGAGTATAGAGATATTGTAGCTTGTAATCCAGCAAGTTCTAGAGATTTAAGAAATATTTAATTAATTAGTTTAATGCAGAGAGAATGATGGAAGGGAATTCTTTATTTGTTTGTAATATATGAGACAAAGTTTGATTGCTGAAACTAAATTAAAATTTAATCAATAATTTTTATAATTTTGTTTTTGCTTTCCGATAGATTTGATTTGTGCGTTAAAGAAAAAATGACAGCATGATATCTTATCACTATCGTATTTGATATACTTTTGATAAGGTTGTAAGACCCCACAGAAACCATTAAAGAAAAGAATGGATTGCTTTTGGAATGTTCAGAGACAATTAGCATTTATCCTGAGGTAGATAAATACAAAATTATAAAACTTGTTAACTCAAATATAACATCAAACAAAAAATGTATCAATTTAATAGTTACTAAAATTTTTTACATAATTCAAAATGTTTTGATTTATATAACATTTAAATTTGGCATACTCTTATGTGTCTAACCCTTAAAATTAAAAAAAAAAAAACATTAGTGTCCGAGGTTCATTCAACTTAAAAAAAGCTTGTTATTGTGAAGAAAAATGTAGTGAATGCGCATTGTCTATATAGAGCTTCAAGTTGATGTCTGCTACTTTAATTTACTGGACATTAACTGAATGCGGACTGTCAAGAGGGAATCGCCATTTAACCCCTTAACGATCGGTTAATTTTCTATAAAACTGTTACAAAAGTGCATTTTTTTATCAAATAACAAATACGCGTATTTGATTAGTTCTGACATCTAGTTTATAATAAAGTAACTATCTACAATTACCTTAAAAATATATGCCATCTGGTGTGAAAAATGAGAAATAAAATTTTTTCCGGGCAAGAGAAATGAATTATTTTTATTTTTATTGGTGCGTAACTACTGAACACTCCAGTCCGGAAATATGACGAGAGCGAGAAATAAATGGCGAAACCTCACCCCGTGATTTTCACGGGAGCGAGGAGGAAGGGGTTAAACTTGATACCCACTATAATACTTTTTTCACAGATGCTCTTACTATAACAGTTTACGGAAAAACAATATTTACGGAAAAACATACCAAACCAATATGGTGTTAAATTGTGTTTGATGTCTTACATAAATCAAAACAAACTTTTCTATTTCTGTGATATTATTTCCGTTATTGTGTGCCAACGTATACAGCACGCTGTTAGCGATTTTGTGATTGACATATGAGGTGTGGGGCAAATCTTTCCAGCCCCCTCAAGTGGTTAAATAAATACTCATACCTATTGACATTGAGAAACAAAGTACGGTAAAAATTACCAGATTATGGTAAAATTTATTGTGTTCTTCGATTTTAGGAAAATAGAAGCTCTGTAAATTTTACCGAAGCTCTTCAGTAATGATTATGGTAAAATTAACGATTAAAAATGGTTTTTTAAAATGTGATAAATTTGGTAACGGTGGTAAAATTTGGTAATTTTATTATGATAATTTAGACCATGGCATAAAAAACATTTATAACGTTAAATGTATTTTTCAGTTTGGTATTTCTTACTAAATGTGTTGTAATAAGAGCAGTAATTTTGAAGACCAAAATTTCTAGTAAACCATTTATCACATGAACGGAGAAATTAACAAATGAATTGTTAAAATACCACATATTTTGGTTTTGTTAACCAGAATTATATATATACTACCAGAAATGTCATTACCACACAGTTCGGTAATTTTACTCGGATTATTTAATTCTGTGCACCATTTTAAAAATTAACTATAATAAAAAAATTAAAATATAAAATATTGCTTAATAGAGCAGTGAAGATGAAAAATACCGACTTTCAATTTAAAATGCTTCAATTTCCTAACAGATCTGGTGAAATCATGAATTAAAAACAAGCACAAAAACCGATTATACAGCTGTTTAGGAAAAAATAAAAAAAAATTTGGTACAAATTTTCCCAGGAGAACCTTATGATGAAATCCCCAAGCATTGTGATTAAATCGAATACTATCCTTTTCCAGTTTTTTACTCCCGTTTAACGACATCCCATTTTTTTGAGAAAATAACAACGCCTTTTATTCTGCTCGGGGCTTTTTAATCCTGGAAAAGCAATTTATTATTTTTTTATTTCCATGTGAATTTTCATTTTTTATCGCTATTTTGCATGGGACGCTTTCGACAATTTAAGAAGCATTTGAGCTATTTTATCGATCAACAAAAGCGATAGCTTCATCTGGAGAATTAATTCAAACTAGAATTTTTTTTCCGATGATGCATGAGGCTTTTTCGAGAATTAAAATTACCTTCTGTAAATGCATTTAATTAAATTTAGTGTGTTTTTAATATTGATTAATGTAATTTATTATTTACTAAAAAGTTGAATAATTAATGTGTTGAATTCCAACGTTAATTTATAATAGGTTACCTGCAGGGCCAAAATGAATTTAAAATTTATAATTAATATATTTCATTGAAATGTAAGTATAAAAGATTTATTATTATGCACATTCATTTATTAGTTATTTTTTATAAATAAATGTTCATTATTTTTCTATAAAATTCTAAGAAAATGAATGATTGCTGTGATATTTTAATTATAATTTAGCAATTTAAGAAATGAACGAACTCATAATATAAGAAATGAAAAAAATAATAATTGTGAGCACTTTTTGTAACATATTTATGTCAAAAGAATTTTTTTATACAATTTCAAGAGACTGGCTGAAGATCTTGATATTTTTAATGTGCCTTGGAATGCTTTTAAAAAATTATGTCTAAATGTTTTATTGTTGCAACGCTTTTTTTTCCTCATAGTACAGTGCGCAAATACACATAGTACAGTACTGACCATCCTGAATAACTTTTGATTTAATGATTGAATCGTCTCGTTCTAGGACCCAATATTAATGGTCCAAAGGGGTGACTTCAAAAATGCTAATTTATTAAATTAGTACAGACGATATTTTCAGTTACTAAATCCGACATAAAAACGTATTTTCTTTGAATAATCAGGCATTTTTTTTAGACGGATTCAGATTTCTAATCCGAAATGTATAGGAGATAGACTAAATTTGGAAATACGGTCTCGATAGTTCGATTAAGATAGGGGTCCAAAATTTTTACCCCTTAAAGTTAATTTTAGTTTTTGCGTATCTCGCCATATCTCGAAAAATGTTTAGGCGAATTTAAAAATTTTGCACAAAATTTTAAAATTCGTTTATCCAAGGATAATTCCACGCAAGACATGGCAAATTACAAAATTTGAGCAAAATCGACCGAATATATCCTGAGAATTCGGATTTTCAAAAAGTCAAATTTTCGTGTTCTTGAACGATCATTAAGTCAAATGTTATTCAGGGAGATCCGTTTTTTTGCGCACTGAACACCACTATAATTGGAGTTTTCTTTTTAAATCTGTAAAGTGTGCTTCGTGGTTAAAATAAGTTAATTAGTTAACTGTGATACTTATTATGCTGAATCCATTGAAATGAAGTAAAATGCTAACAATTTAATAGAGCTAATTATCTGTACGCTGCCGAATTTTTTTCTTCGCTAAATAATTTCCGAATAATGTTTAATTAAAACCTACCTTCTAATGGAACTAAAATGTTTTTCATGTGTATTTAAAATGCTTTTAGCAAAGGTCACAATTCATAACAATATAGTTTTCAATTTAATTATGTTTTTCCAATAATTGGGCAGCAGATGATAAAAATAAACTTAACAAAGGATATTTTCAAACTAAGGACAACATTATTTTTTTTTCCAGTTATTTTTATGATGATGTTTTAACGACGCAAACAGTAAATAAAACGTCCCTTCAATTTCCAAAAAAAATTTCTTTTATTTAATGACCTATTTGATAATAGAAAATGATATCATTGCTATATAATGTCTATTACCACAAATGAGTTCTTTTGCAACTATGGATAATGGAAATGATGCAAGCCTGGTTTCAGGTTGACGTAGCGTTTTTCTTGTTAACAAAAGGTTTAGAAAAATTATTTGATTGTTATTAATTACGAAACAGAGAGTTTTGGAGCTCTTTAAGGATTTTCTTACTTATGAAATTTATGAGAAAATGATATTCTAAGGGGAAAAAATACAATCAAACTACTAGAATATGTAAAAATTTACTGTGCTCTTAAGAGGAAGCTAAAAAACGTGGCAATATTTTTTTTGTCGAAGAGCTTTGGTAGTGATTTTGGTAAAATTAACAATACAATATGATTTTATAATATGTGATGAAATTCGGCAAATGTGGAAAAATTTGATAATTTTAAAATGATACCCTAGAGCATGGCATAAAAATTATTTATTCGTCTAAATTTTCTTTTGATTTTTGTATTTTTTATGAAATATGCGGTAATAAGAACTATAATTTTGAAAACCAGAATTTCTGGTAAACCGTTACCGTACGAATGAAATGGTTTAAATACCGTATATTTTGGTTTCATTAACCAGAATTATATTTCTTTTAACCAGAAATGTTATCACTATATAGTACTGTAATTTTACTGGAGTTTTTTTCTCCATGTAGAATAATTGTTATTTTAATATCTTAAAATTAGAATAAAATTTTTTTCTCTCAAATGAACAGTTTTCTTGTATCCTTATGACATTAATTAAATAAATTGAAACACACATACTTTAAATTACAGATTTTTTTGAGAAAACGGTTTTTCATTTGGAGAAATTCACATGTAGTAGTTTTAAGTTATTATTTTTTATTTTAGAGTTCATTATTAACAAAGCAAAGCTTATAAACATTAACAAAACTTATTTCACGGTCATAGGGAATAAGTATAGTAAAAGACCAAAAAAAAAAAAAAAACTAAAGAAACCAATAACTAAAACAAGTCTAAATAAATAAAGCCGAATGTTTGTATATATAAGTGCATGTATCGTATAAAAATCCTCAATTTTTGACCTACCCAAACCAAAGTGGAAGCCACGGTCATGCCACTAATTATATCATGGCGGTGATCAGTTCAATTTAGTGGTTAGTAGAGGTAGCATATTAAGCAGATTTTGGAAGTTTCATTTACATCTTAATTTGGATACGCTGTAGGGATATTTATGCCAGAAAAATGAATAAAATCATTTAGGAAAAATTGATTTATTAAGTAAATATTAAATGGAATATGATCCCATTCAAAAATTATAAAAATAAACAAAGGGATCAAGAAAGGGTCCTTCAAACGGATCAAGAAAATTATTCTCTTCACATCTAAAATATTATATAAAAGATATTTATTATTCGGTTGGAACTGAGAGATCTAAACCCCCCCCCCAATCCACTCGCCTATAATTAGAAATTCACAGTAAGTGAATTGTTCCCAACGGACTTTAGAAGCATGGGAAGAGATTCAAGGTTGGCGATTTATCGAAAGATAACATAGCCAAATATAAAGACAACCCCTATAATCAATATTAAACTTGAAAATAATTTGGCGAAAGCGAATCGCCATAAAGACTGCGAGAATTAGCATAACTGAAACAGTTTTGTGGTAAAAAATAAAGAATTATAAATAGATTTTTGTTTTTGATTTAGTCACGTCAGAGAATTAATGAATCTTACATTAGTATTGAAAAATTAGTCTCTGCATTAATTGTTAAGAAAAGAATAAAATATTTTATATTATATTTTTATAAAATGCTATAAAAATTAAATAATTGGTTTAATTTAATTAAAATTATGTTAAGAATGATTAAAAAAAAGGTTTAAGAAATTAAAGAAATTTTAAAAGCTAGGAAATATGTAATGCCTATTGTGGCATCACAGTCTACTTTGAAACTCCTTATGACAACTGGCTTAAAAGATACATTTTAATGAAATAGTAGTTCACTCATATTATAAAATATTTATCAACCATAGGATTTGATAAATATTTTAGAATGCGAGTGAATTGCTAGCTTGTCGCTCTAATGAATCAAAAAATTGTTCCATCGCTCTTTTTTATGAATTATTTATCTTCGGTTTTCATGTTAAGTTATCAAGGTTGTAGTATAACAAATGTTTATGATAAAACAGCATGTTTATGATATTGCTATTTACGCTTTTAAAGCATATCTCTACAAACTTAGAAAATGGAAGTTCAGCAATAACTCATGAAATAAAATTGAAGTCATAATGAATGAAATATTAAGCCATGGGAAAATTGTATTGGAAAATTCTGATCATCTAAGGTAAAATGATACGATATGTATATTTTTGGAGAGCGGAATTTCTCACTTGTGTTACGGTAAACCTAATAGTATTAATCCTTACGGAATATACAACAAATAACAAATAAATAAAAAATGATAAATAGGCATGCCTGGAAATGTCATACGCACCTAGGGACGCTTCCCTATTACGAACTCTTTTCTTCTTCTTTTTTTTTGCGTTATTCTGAACATCTCAAAATAAGAAAAGCGACCCTAGTTGCGTTACGACATTTCCGGGCAATTTAAATTCTGATGATGTACCCTAGAAGTTTGTCGCATCATTTATGTGACACTCCGTCATATATAGCATTTTTAAACTTATTTCAGCAAAAGATAGGCTGAAAACGTCATTTAAAAAAAATTGTAGCTTTAAGATTAAAACTAATTAGGAATTTTAAATCTCTCCACGATTTATCTAAGGTTCAAATATTGTATAAATACAACAAAAATTTGTCTCCCAATGTTATTATTCATGGTCTTATTTATCCAAATTTCATTTTAAAGATCATTTAGACATGCGTAACTCATTGTTAAACAAAATAAACAGTATATTTCATTCTCAACTAAATTTCGTTATTTATAAAAATATATTTATTCGGAAGGTAATTAAAATAAAGTAGGACAAGGATTATTCTTCCCTATTAATATTCTGAAAAATATATCAATATGCATTTTTGTTTAACTTTTAGAAATCGCTTTTTAATTCGAAACATTAAGTCGGTCGAAAAATTATTACAGTTAAAAAAATTTTGTTTAAGATTTTGTTCACTCTGATACGAGTTCTGGTGATAAAGTAATGATTTTCAAGTTAGAGAGACCATTAAAGATTTTCTGTAAGGATAATACTTCAGGTCATTAATGACATACGTAAATATACCATTCATTCAATTTCTTAAAAATTTCCTTTAGTGATTTATTTGATAATAAGAAATGATATTTCGCTTTAAAACGTTCATTTTAGTAAATGAGTTCTTTTGTGAATCTTCATCTCAGGAAGGATAATTAAAATGGTCTGAGGATTCATAGATTATTTTTTCCTATCAAGAGGATTTAAGAAATATTTTGTTCGTCATTATTACAAGAGACTGACAAAGATCTTTAAAGCTCTGTGAAGTCTTCCATAAGTAATAATTTTTCTTCTTCCCAGTTCCTTCAAGTTTTAATGAGAGTAAGAACTATAAATAGATGCGGATTTCACTCATTTTAAACTGGAACTACTTATCATAGATTATGTTTTTATGAAAAGACTAAAGGAAAATCTTTGGAAAAGTGCTCTTTATTGAAAAGATTTATCAAAACAATCATTTCTTGTTTTTTTTAAAAATCATTTTAGATATTTTCTTCAAGTACTTAGTTTAGTATAACAGTTTGATTCGTTATTGATCAAAGCTTAATATTCATTTGTTAACATGAAAGGAAGAATATATAAAATATTCTGTAAAAGAAGCAAAAAGTGGTAATAAATCTAATAGATATAATATAGCTATAATATAGAAGATAGCTATAATATAGAATAATAGCTAATAATAAAAGAAGTGGAATACAGAATGAAAAAGAATACAGTTTACTGAAATTTCCAATTCAAGGAAAACTCATCTGTGAATACCCTATATAATAGTGATGCTGTAAATTTTCATATAATATTTATAGGTATGAATTTGAGATATTGCATAATGAGATATTGCAATAGTATGAAGCACCATAATTTGTATTTAATTTTTTTTTGCACATTCAACTATCGAAAACTTACACTTCGAATGTACTGATGTTCTTGCGGTGGTAAGAAACAATATACTCGGTCCGAATATAAAGAGTTGGTGCAACGAAATTACCAACTCATAACCGTCCTAATAGGTCATTAAACCTCCAGCGATTTTCCATGTATTTCATACGGAGAACCACTAGACTGTGTTCCGACTATTCCATTGCACTGAATCTGTGCACCTGTGCTGTTTAATGAACAAAGCAGATGAAACCTAAACATAATTAGCATAGTGTTGTTGTCTTATGCTACTTGTCAATACTGAAAAGCCTATTTTAAGGCAGAGGGGTTCACTTCTTGTTTTCCAGTGGCGCAATCTATGGCGAAGAATTCGACTACTACCACACGCATACGTCACAGCCCGTTTTACACGGAGGCCATATTCACACACTATCCATCCGCTCTCAGATGGTATTTTGATCAGAACCAGAGCACGATTAATCTAATGGTATTCTATTTTATTTAATTACCATCGTTGAACAGCAGACTCAATTTTGAGTTTACGACTACTAATGTTCATCTCCGTAGTCTTGCAATTTTGATCCAATCCAGTAGACACGGAAACTCCTGGATCAGTAACCACAGAGGTATTATTTGTTATGGGAACATAGAGGACTTTGGGACTCGACAGATTTAATGTGCATCAGTTACCATTTACTACACGGGAAGTTTTCGGCCGGCGGAGATTGAACCCACGACCTCTTGGACATAGGCTCAGTGCCCTACTGTTCAGGCCCTTCCCAAAGGTATTGATTTGTCATGGGAACTTGAAGGATTTTGTGACCCTGACATATTTAGCGTGAACTAGTCACCAGTTTGAACAAGAAATGTCTTCGGCCGGTAGGGATTTAACTCACGAGCTTTTGGATAAGGGCCCTACGCCCTACCAACCAGGATTTCCCGGCCTAATTAGCATAGTGAAAAGCATGAAGGAATTCCAAAAGTGATTGGAAATAAAAATTAATAAAAAACAAGAAAAAAAGATCAAGAGAAAGAACAAGCTCGTTTCAAAATTATGTGTCATTTTTCAGGGAAATGCTTTCCTAATTATTTATCAGTATCTTGTCCAGTTCTCGGTATCAGTATCTGGTTCAGTAATTCGAATCTAATACAAAAATTGCATGTTCATCGCGCATTGTATCGACCTTTGACCTTCAAGAAACTCAGTCTGGTGATTTCCCATAAGGAAGATTCCGGGTACTGCTGGAGGCTCCAGTCATGTTTATTCCGTCGAAATTCGTCATGTTTATCATTTATTCGTTGGTTCGTAGAATTAACTCTTTAGGAATAGAATCAAGTTTATCGGTGCGTTTTACGCTTGCTGTTATTTAAAGAATATTCCATAAAATAATGAAATTCTGTTTGGATCGTAATTATAAAGTAATTATTGCAAAAAAACAATGAAACGTTGCAACTGTTATAAATCAAATAAAGATTATTTATTGCTTACAATTTTTTATTCTGACTTGAGCTAAATAAAGCAAATAACTTTCTTACTTCGACATCCGGGGGATTAATAATTTCAGCTAATCTCCTTTCGTCCGTAAAATGACTTCTTCTTCTATGTTCTCCAGGTATTCGCCGTCTTGCCAGCAAATGAGATAATCTAGATAACTAGAGTCAAACAATATATAATATTAAGTTTGTTGTAAGTTCTGTTTGGTAAATAATATGGTTAAGAACTTGTAAATAATCAAAACCAGTAAATAATAAGAACTTGTAAATAAAAAATTAAATTTATTTTATCTTAAATTTAAGGGCGACCTTTAACTTTCAAACAAAATGGAATTTACTTAATTAAATTTCATTTGGTTAAGAAGCACAATATGCAAAATTTCATTAGTTACAAGGCATTCAAACAAATTGAGTATACAATGAAAATAACTGTTTCATAATGTCAGTTGCTTTCTCCATCTCAATTTTCTCCATCGATACTATACTCCAGTGTTTCCCAAAGTGTGGTACGCGTACTCCCAGGGGTACGGGAACAGTTTAGCTAGGGTACGCGTTCTTATGTGAAATATCTTGCAACAAACGAAAATTTTAAAATTTTTTATTGAAAAACAAAGCTAGCCATGAAAATTTACGATTATGTATTTTTCTATTGGCTATTTTGAGTTAACAGTTAATAATTAGTGGTGTCAACAGCCAGTAGTGATTTTTAACTTTTGGGGAATTTTTTTATAGTAAGAAATACATTCATTTTTTTATTAGTGGTACAAAGCGTTATGAAAAATTTAGAAAGGGTACACTAAAGTCATAAGTTTGGGAAAACACTGCACTCTGACGCAAGTTAAGAAAAGACCATTGCCCCTATGGAGAGTATCTGTTTGCACAAGCCAAATAGATGCCAAGTTCCCAGAGCTAACATATATCAATATCGCTAACTCTTTAAATGACGTTGCATAGCCTCCTTTTTGCTTTCTTATTTATAATAATTAGAGTTATTAACAGAAATAATCAATTAACAAGTAATAAGAGTCATATAAAATTATATTTTTAAAAATCGTAACAATCTACTTTTTTTCTGTTTGATTTAAGGAATTTTGCGAAAGAATAATAAATATTATTTCTTGCAAACGATTTTCTTCTACAACTTAAAAAAAGTTAAATTCTTTATCACGCATTTGATAGCTTAAGATCATGTAGCAAAAGACCCGCAATTTTTAGTGGGCCAATCAAATGCAATGCTCTTGCAGCGTCATATATCTTTTTCAAGAACCAATGTTTTCCTTATTTATCGAAATATTTCGTCAAGTCTAGGATTCTAGTAAGTCTACGAAACTATAACCGCTTTTTAATAATTCTATGATTATATCGTAAAAGATAAGACGAATTAAATTTGTGTTTGAAGTGTCTAACTTTTAAAATCTTTTATATTGTTTTGATAGCCTATTTGTATAATTTGATAACGAAATAAAACGGAACAGCAGTCGCGGGTAATTACTTAAATCCTATACCTCAATGGTCTTTTCTTAACTTGCAACGGAGTACAGATTTTTTTTCTTCTCGGTTGCCATGAAGCGAACTTATTTGATGAGAAATTACTAATGACCGCAAAACTAGCGGTTACCCCCAAGCAGCATTTTTTCTAAGTTAATGAGTTGTAAATTGTTAAAAAATATTTGCTGTAATGCAAAATTACATTGCTTTAAAATACACTCGATAACAAAAAAAAATCGACGCACCAAGAAGCAATCATCCGATTGCTTTGAAATTTCGTATGCATAAATGTTTTGAACAGATACGGCTGGAATGATGCCGACTGGGGACGTATAGTCTTTAGCGACGAATCCCGCTTCCAACTGTGTCCTGACGATCATCGAAGTCGTGTTTGGAGACGCACAGGGCAGAGGGGGGATCATGCCTTCACTGTTGCACGCCACATCGGCCCTCAACAAGGCATTATGGTCTGGGGTGCCATTTCCTTTGACAGCCGGACCCCTTTGGTCTTCATTAGAGGTACACTTACTGCACCGCGGTACGTCGACGACATCCTAAGACCTGTTTTGCTACCGTTCCTTTTGCAGTGCCTTGGACTGGTTTTTCAGCAGGTCAATGCCAGACCACATACGGCACGTGTTGCTATGAACTGTCTGAAAGCTTGTCAAACTCATCCTTGCCCTACGAGATCATCAGATCTCTCTCCCATTGAGCATGTCTGGGATATGATGGGAAGGAGATTGCATCTGGCACGGAATGTTGATGACTTCGTTCGACAATTGGATCGAATTTGGCAGTAAATACCCCAAGAGACCAACCGCGAGCTTTATCGGTCTATGCCACGCCGTGTGGCAGCTTGTATCCAGGCTAGAGGCAGGTCAACACCTTATTGAACTTGTTACTGTAACTCTGCAATAAATTATTCATTTGTTCTGAAATTTTAATCATTTACTATTCTGTACATTGTCTTCCTATCCAACAATCTTCGTTTCAATTGGACAACTCCTTCTTGGTGCATCGATTTTTTTGTTATAGAGTGTACATTACTTTGCGTTTCGGAAATTTTAAATTTTTAAAAAGTAATGTGAGGTAAAAGGGTCGTACTGGTACAACCAAAAAGGTTTAATTATTTGTTGAAACATTCCTTTATCATTTAAAAATTTTCAACACAGGTTTATTTTTAAAAATTAATCAACTTCGATTAATATTTCAATTAGCATATTTAAAAAAGTCCAAATAAATATTTAGTGATAATTCATTACCTCATTACAAAAATTTTTAATTAATAAAATCAGTTTCTTTAACTTAATAACTTTTAAACCTACACTTAACTCTTAAATATAGTCTTATGAAATTTGAAGAAAAAAAAGTTTAACTTCTTGTATAAATTTTACAAAACTTCAAGATAGTCATCCGAATAATTTATTTGTTTTAATACAAATCTACCTAGAGCAAATTGTTCAGATCATTAATTCCAGTCACAAATTGTCTTTAAATACACTATATAGACTGTTGTAGTATTGTTTTTTTTAATGAGTTCTTACATTTAGAAGTTTTACAAAAAAAAATATTCTAGCAAAGTCTAAAATGTTACTGATATTTTCTTCATTTAAGAAGAGAATAATGAGAATTTTGCAACTACTCAGTAAAGTAATATTTTTTTAAATCATTAAATATTTTATTAATCATGATATTTTAGCAATAATAATATTTTTTATAATATTTCAGTGTATTTTGATTTTGATATAAATACTCAAACTTTAAAATAATTTGTAATATTCTAATTCAGATTTTCGTGTTGAGTTCATTATTATTTAAATTTTTATAATTTATTACTCAAAATATATATAATGCTTTCAAAATTTAAAATCTTGTTTATTATTTGCGATTTTAATTAGTTCTTTGTAGATGGATAAAAATTTGAAGTTAATAATAAACAAAGCGCAGAAATTATTGACTTTACCGAAAGCCTGTTAGTATACATTAGTCTATCTGGAAACTCAAAGCCTTTTAGTAATTGTTACTTTATCAAGCAACCTAAAACCTTTCATTAATTATTACTCCATCAAGTAACCGACGCCCGGTGGCTGAGCGGTAGCGCTTCGCGCTGTCGTGCCACAGGTCCCTGGTTCGATCCTCGGGCCGGGCAGGGTTGACTCAGCCTTTCATCCCTTCAGTGGGTCGATAAATGAGTACCAAGCATGTTTGGGAACTAAACACTGGGGGTTCCGCGTTCGGCAGACCACCTGACCGGAACATCTGCTCCTGCACCCCAGAGCCCAAGGTCAAGAAAACTGAGATGGGCACAGTAGGCCTTGGCCCTCTATGGGCTGTCGCGCCACTGAGTTTAGTTTAGTTCCATCAAGTAACCTTGTTTTAAATGATCATATTATCGAAACAACGCAACTCACTGATTTTCTACGCTTACAATTGGTTAGATAAAACTCATAGAAATACCACTGACTTTACAAGAACGCTAACCAAATTAAATTAATTAAACTAGCTTTTAATCAAATATACTTTTATAATTTGAAGTACTAAGCAAACGAAATAAGAGGACATAAAGCACTCTCAAGCTACCAAGTGATGACAAAATTAAAACATCATGTTCTTTCCACATGTTCATTTTTCATTGAAGTTCTAAAAGTAAATATTTAGAGATGTTTATTTGCTTTAATTACGCTCCGTCAATATTTGGATAAAATTAACGAACAGATTCATTTATTTTAACCTTGTAAAATCGAGTCGACTTTCTGTGTTTCAAACCTCGAAATTTATTTTTAATTTAGCTATTCTGAAGAGATAAATTTTGCTATGCAGAGAGTATGGAAAGTTTCTTTAGTTTACTGTTTTTCAGAGATTAGTTTCTACTGTGCATTAAAACATTTCATATTTAAGACAGTTATAATATGATGTGGTACCATCTAGTTTAACTTTTTATTTTATGGTAAGGATTTCGTTTTTATGTAAAAGATAACGAAGAAAGATAACCAAAAACTCACGCAAAAGATAACCAAGAAACTCGCCAACGGTAAGTCTGACACCAAAAAGATAGTAACGCATGATTTTTCTACCACTGCATTGCAAGCGTATTGAAATGAATCATTTTAGTATTTCCAAAGCACTTGTAGCCATTAACACTAGCTGAACTAAAACTATGGCCAAGAAAAAGGCTGATACCAACGAGAGGGTAATGTGTATATGTTACGGTGAAACACCGCAATCTGGAAAATGTCGACATTCACGTAGTCACTTGGTGTATGTCCGAAATATTTGCTAAATACCCTTATTTCTGACTCTCACCGGTGAATGTCAACAATCACATATGCTTTGGTGAATGTCCGAAATATTTGTCATATCCAATTTTATATTAATTTATTCGTTAATATTATTATATTTATTTGATATATTTATATTTATTCTATATTTTAATACTTACTGACGATAGATTAGAAGAAACATCAGTGTTTGGAGTATCGGGCAAATATATACCAGGCAATGGCACTTGACCTTAAAAAAACATCAGTGTAGGGTATACCGGCAAATGTATACCGGGCAGTGGCACTTAACCTTAAAAAACATCAGTGTAGGGTATACTGGGCAAATGTATACCGGACAGTGTCACTTAACCTTAAGAAAACATCAGTGTAGGGTATACCGGGCAGTGACACTTAACCTTAAAAAAACATCAGTGTAGGGTTAAAATATCGAATAAATGTAATTATATCCACGAATAAATTCATATCAAATCGAATGTAATAAATATTTCGGACGTTCACCAAAGCATATCTGTGATTGTCGACATACACCGGTGAGGGTCCGAATGTACAAGAATGTAATGAAATATTCGATCTTTCACCGACGTATTTGGTGTTTGTCGACATTCACCGGTGCAAGTCAACAACCACCGATTTCGGTCCTTCGCCGTGACACATATATTCTCTAGTGTCATTTTTTAAAAAATATTTTTTCTTATAACCGTCGTTGAACAGCTATCCCAACGGCCATCGTTGAACATGTCGTTGAACAGCCATCATTTAGGGTTTACAGCTACTAATGTTCAACTCCGTAGTCTTTTAATTTTGAACCCAATACGAAAAAGAAACTCCTGGATCAACTATTGGGGGAAATTTTGCATTCGTGGCGGACTTTTTGATGGAACTAAACCTCATTTGCTTTACATGGAGAGAAAAACCACGAAAACCTTCCATGGTTAGTCTGACAGCAAGAAGACTCTAAACCCATGATCCGTCTACCACTGAGGATATTTTACGTCAACACTGTGGTCGGTGCGAACCGGATGCGGAAATCGCATCAATCAGCTATCGCTGGGATCGAACCCGGGTCACCTCATTGGTTGGTGAGAGCTCGGTCCCCTGAGCCCTCACGGCTCAACGGTCAGATTTGAAATAAAATTTACAAATGAATCTTCGTCTCCGGTGAGTAAGAAAAGGTTTTAATTTTCTGAAGTAATCGCGCCCTATTCTTACATTTGAGTCCAATCCAGAATTTTTTTTATTTAATTAACTCCAAAACAAATACAATCTCAGAAACATAAAACTTCATATTACTTCGGTGATACGAAGTTTTGAAAATGGATTTAATTAAGTCCCTAAAACACCGAAGTATCTACTTTTCTGTCTCTACAGTTAATGCTTTCATTCTCTTTTTGTATGTGAACAGTGCGCAAATTAAGAAACAGACCACCCTGAATAACTTTTGATCTTCACGTTTCTATGACTCAATCCCTATGAATAGAAGGGGTGACCTCAAAAATGTTCATTTTTTGATCCGCGATGGCTTAGGGGATAGAGCGTTCGCCTTCCAATGAGGCGAACCGGGTTCGAATCCCAGTCGATACTAATTCCTCATCCGGCTTGCACCGACCACAGTGCTGACGTGAAATATCCTCAGTGGTGGACGGATCATGGGTTAGAGTCAGACTAACCGTTGCCGTCAGGCTAACCATGGGAGGTACTTGCGGTGTTCCTCTCCATGTAACGCAAATACGGGTTAGATCCATCAAAAAGTCCTCCACGATGGCAAATTTCTCCCAATACTCCAAGAGTTCCTTTGTCTTCTGGATTGGGTTAAAAATTACAAGGCCACGGAGTTGAACATTAGTAGTCGTAAACCCATAAAATTGGGTCGAATGTTCAACGACGGTTATAAAATAAAACAAAATATGGTCATTTATTATTGCGGACGATATTTTAAGTTACAAAAACAGACACAAAAACTTACTTTCCATCAATAAACATACCTTTTTCCCCCGACTGATTTGGATTTCTGAACCTCAAAATATAGGGGATAGCCGCAATCTGGGAAATATGGTCCCAATAGTTTGATCAGGAGAGCGGTCCAAAGTTAGGACCCCTAAATTTAGTTTTATTTTTTGCATATTTCACCATACCTCAGAACTTTTTAAGCGAATTGAAAATTTTTTGCACACAATTATAAAATTCATTTATCCAAATATAAAAGAATAGCTACATGGAACAGGAGGTTTTATTATTTTATTTAATATTAGTCGAACAATGGCGAATTGTAGGGTATAATATTTTTTACATCATTTTAAAGAAGGTAATTTTAAATTACAAATTACGAATTCTGAGTGGAATCGGTAGAATTTATCCTCAAAAATCGAATTTTAGAAGTCATATTTTAGAAATCCGCTTTCTCAGGAACTATTCGACAGATTTAACTCAAATTTCGTTATTTGCTATGTAAAATTATAAAAAAAAATGATGATGATGTTCGTTAAAATGATGAAAAAATTGCGTATCTTATAATTAAAAATATTTTTGACTACTATTAAATAAAATAATAAAAAATAAAATAATAAAAAATAATAATATTTATTAAAAGTTATTCCTTGCAGGGAATTATTTTTGGATAAATGAATTTTATAATAGAGTGTAAAAATTTTTCTATTAGATAAAAGGTTTTTCGATATATGGCGAAATACGTAAAAAGTAAAGAGGTCCAAACTTTACACCACTCTCTTCACCAAACTATTGGGTTCATATTTCTCAGATTGCAGCTATCCCCTATATTTTTGGGATCAGAAATCCAAATCCGTCGAAAAAAAGGTATGTTTATTCCGATAAAGCACATTTTTGTGTCTGATTTCGTAACTTAAAATATCATCTGCGCTAATTAATTAGCATATTTGAGATTAAGTCTTCGAATAATTTAAAATGTGTCCTAGAACGTGAAGATCAGATTATTAGATCAAAAGCTATTAAGGGTGGTCCATTTCTTTTTTTTTGCACACTGTACATATATTCAAAAGTCTCCTTCAATGGTGACGTATAAAGATCCTGCTGCCATCTATTTACCAGATATGAGATAACAATCATTGAACAGAACTACATAAAAGCTGACTATTATACACTAAATTCTAGTTATTAATTCATTATTGAAGGAATAACTCAGCATATTACTGTCCACGTGACATACGACTCCTCCGGTTCCGATCATTTTCTAGTTACCTTAAATTACTTGACAGAAATTAACATTACCCTTGCAGTCAGGCTAACAGTGGAAAATTTTCGTGGTTTCCCTCTCCGTGTAACGCAAAAGCGAGTTAGTTGAAACCACGTTAGTTGTCTCAACGAAGGCAAAATTTCTCCCAATATTTGATATTGCAGTTCTCTTGTCTTTTTGATTGGGTTCTTAATTGAATGGCTACGTAGTTGAACAAAAGTCGTAAACCCAAAATTGGGTCTGTGTTTAGCTATGGTTATAAAATAAAATATAGTAAAGTTTGAGCCGTGGTGACTCAGGGAATAGAGCGTTCGCCTTCCAATGAGGTGAACCGGGTTCGAATTCCAGCAATGGCTGGTCTATACGAATTCCGTATCCGGCTTGCACCGATTACGGTACTGACGTAAAATATCCTCAGTGGTAGACAGATCATGGGTAAAAGTCCCTTTGCAGGCTAACCCTGGGAAGTTTTCGAGTTTTCCCTCTTCTTGTAACGGAAATGTACGTTAGTTCCATCAAAAAGTCCTCCACGAAGTTAAATTTCTTTCGATACATGAGTTCCCTTGACATCTGGATTGGTTTCAAAATTACAAGGCTATGGGGTTGAAAATTTGTAGTCGCAAACCCAAAAAATTGGGTCGGCTGTTCAACGACGGTTATAATTTTGTAAAGTTCACTTTGACGATTATTTTTACTATATATATTCAAAAATAAATATAAAAAAGAATAATATTTGATACTAAATTGGAAAATTCTAAAGAAAACAGTTCAAAAATGTCCCAAGATGTAAATTATATATTCAAGGTAATTTCACAGAAACATTTTGGAAAATGTAATAGTTATGACACATATTTAAGTGAACTTACTTCCAATACAAATTCTTTTATTAACAGTTGTGGTTGGGGAACAACCATTTTGTCTGCAGAAACTGATAACTGGATGGCTCCGGCATAAGATATGACAGAAAACACTACTGGGATTTCTGGTCTGGGAGACATCCAGAAGACTATTTTTTTTAGCTTTTTTGTCCCCAAAGTCAGCATTTCCTGTGGACCCGGAATATTGGCTAAGACAACAGTTGCCTATAGGATATCAAAAATCAGAACAAATCTTAGAAATGTCAGATATAAGGTATAAGTATAAGGTAAGGTCAGATATAAGGTATGTCAGATAAGGAAATATGCATAGCATATTTCCTAACATTTAAAAACCAAATTATTGTTTTAATTTAGTTCTAAAGTAATCATTAATATGATCACTTATCTTTTAATACCACAACCTTAAATTGAGTGCAGAAAAAAAATTTTTTTTTTCGAGATTCCCTCTAACATATCAGTATAGAATTTGAAAACCATTTTATGGTTGCTAATTTTTTGATTTTATTAAAATTAGTTATTAGTTCTCACGATTTTTTTCTTGCCCCCACATTTGAATGCGTAAGACAAACAAAAAGATCCTTGCTAATACATTAATTTAATTAATAGTCAATACAAGGATTCCTTGTATTGACTATTAATTAAATTGTACTAACGTCCACACGAGACTCGCATTTTTGATTTCTTGGTTAAACGAGATGCCCTGCAGCACTGGCCATTTTCTAAATTTATTAATCTATATTGTAAAAAAATGAAATTTTTTTTTGGATTTTGGAGGTCAATATGATGCTATATATCTGAAATAAAATATTTTTTATAATTTTTTCGAATTCAATTCTTCATTAAAATAACGCAGTTCCTATTGTTTAATATCTTTACCACTCTGAAATAGTATATGGATAACTCAAAAGGCGTCAAACAACATCCTCTTCAAGTTATGGTTAATGCATCAACTCCTTCAAACAAAATTTCCTGGATTACAGATATAGCTGCACCAATTAGACATCAGCCGGATTTCCGTCCTTGAAAATATGGATAATACGTGCTTGGAAAAAGACCAGCAACGAAAATCTCACACTGTTTAATTATTACACAAAAATTAGGTAAAGGATAATGACAAATTCTTTTATTAATATACAGAAATTTTCAAGTTCTCTGTATTTTGATACATATAAAAAGGAAGTATATTATCACTAGTACCGAAGCTCATTTAAGGTATCTGACTAGTGAAAAAAAATCTGACTTTGAACAAAATTTTTGAAATTGAGTTTATTATAAATTCAGAATTTCATTATTCTTAGCTTTCTAAAAATACTTTACTTTTGTTTGCACTCCAATTATTTGAAATGTTATAGCAGTTTTTGTGCAAGGTAATAACAGTGGATAGGGCTTATTATTTTAAGTTTTTAAATGCTTTTATCTCAAGATAAGATTTTTCCACATTTTACACCACTTTAATCATGATATCTCATGTTGTTTTTAAAATAACAGTCTACAATTTTTTATGAGTGTTTATGATTATAGCACACATGTTTTGAACTACAACTAAAAGGAAAAAGTATAATTTTATTTTTTATGCATGTTTTTTCGCAGAAACAACTGTTGAAATTTTTTTAAAAATTTGCTTTTTAAACTACCTTGATTCTTAACTCAGTAGTATATGAACTTGATATTAAAATAATAGTTCAAAACATAGTTGATAGCTTTCTAACTGAAATCCTCAAAGGATTTTTTGTTTCAGGTGATGATTTTTTTTGTGGAGTGTTTAGCATATATGCAAAAAATGTCGAATTTTTATCTAAAAATGGTTATTTAAAAAATATTAACACATATTAAATAAAGTTTTTACACATATTAAAACAAATAAACTAGTTTTTTAAATTGCATATTAATATTTAGAAAAAAGTTGTCGAAATTAGTCGGATGCCCCAATTTATCTTGGCCTTGTATCTTGGCGTTGGTGATGATACTTTGTTATAGTTTCAAGATAGCCGTAAGTAATTCAAAATAAATTTAGAATTACATACATACCGAACTAAAAATGGGAATTTAAATCCAAAAAGCTTTTTTTCAATTTATATTTTAATACTTTTTATTTTCCTCTGCTATTATATAAATTTTAATTATTTATCAGCATATTTTTGAGCCAGACACATTTAACTGCATAAACTCTTTCTCAAACGTTATATGGAAGGAGAATAGCGTGCGAATGATATTCGTTAGTTGCCGGCTGGATTCGAACCAAGGACCTCCGTGTTCTCAGTTGGATTTTGTGATCACCATAGTTATAGATTGCGGTAAAAAAATTATCATTAAACAGTAGGCGAAACACTTTTAAATTATAAGACATACGCCAAATTTTTATATCATTTTAAAGTATGTAATTTCAAATAGAAAAATACGAAATTTGAGCGAAAGCGGTTGAATAGTTTCTGAGAAATCGAATTTTAAAAATACGACTTTTTAAAAATTTGATTTCTCAAGAACTATTCAACCAATTTCGCTTAAATATTGAATTCTTGCATGTAAAATTACATACTTTGATATGATGTAAAAATTGTATTCCTTAGAATTCAAGATTGCTTCAAATATTATTTAATAAAATAATAAAAATAATAAATATTTACTCAAATTAATTTTTTGCATGGAATTATCTTTGTATAAACAAATTTTATAATTGTGCGAACGAATTTTCAATTCGCACAAAATTTTCTCTAGATATGGCAAAATGCGCAAAAAGTAAAATTAATATTAAGGAGTCTAAACTTTGGATCGCTCTCTTGATCAGACTATGAGGGCCATATTTCCAAGATTGCGGCTACCTCCTATATTTTGAAGATCAGAAATCTGAATACTTTGAAAAAGAGGTATGCTTATCTAGAGTAAGTACGTTTTGGTGTCTGATTTTGTAACTTAAAATAGTGTCTGCCTGCGCTAATTAATTAGCATATTTGAGGTTACCCCCTCGAACCACTAAGAATGAGTTCTGGAACGTGAAGATCCGATTATTAGATGAAAAGTAATTCAGGGTGGTCTGTTTTTTCTTTTTGGCGCACTGTACATCCAAGTCCAGGGAGAGATAGGCAGCTTTATATAATGGCCACCGCAATGACATTTATATACCAGAATTTTTCTGAAACGTTTCTCAAAATTGTGTAAAATTTTGTATTTTTTGTCATTTGATTGTTTTCGCATAGTGAGAAATTTTCTGCAGAACTAGGTAGTAACTTTCGGATTTGAACCTTTTTAAATATAGAGAGGTTTACAAATCTACATTTCATTTAAAATGTATTTAACCCGGTGACTTGATAGAATGTGAACAGTACTTTAAATTATTTTATACAGCGTAAGAAAAATTTAATCCACATAAATTAATGATTTTTTTAAATAAGGTTAAACTTTAAAGTTGGAAGTTAGAGCTCATTAGACTAGAGTTTGCACTTTCTACTACGTATGTATCTAAAATATTTTAATCAGTTTAAAAAAGACCGTTCACATTATAATGTTTTGAAAAGAAGTTCCTACTCTTTAAATTATGTATTTCCAACGTCTTTTTGAGATGCAGTCCTGTTTTGGATGTTAATCTTTTAGGAAAGAATCTATATGTTTATCGAACGTCTCTGCATAATAACTTAACACTACCTTCCATTTGACCTTTATAAATTATGCAGTACTCTCGGAGAAATTATTATTACAATTAGCTTCTGTCGAAGAGTATGGCGGCTTGTGTTGGCGTCTTCTATATTTAAATTAAAATGCTGTATCTTTTTCCTTAGAAATTAGACGCGAAAATTCAACTGCTGACTAAAGAAAATCCTTCTTACATGAAATATAGCATCAAAGCTTTTAACTAATGGGATTAATTTCGTTACTTCAATATCATCTGTTTTGGGTTGCCATTTTGGATACAGAAAGTTTGCTAGACATACGGTGAATGCACATCAATAACATGCCATTAATATGTAATTTGAATTACGAACAAAGATTAATATTTTGTCTAATTATTTAGAACGTAACTTAATAATTTATTCGGTTCTGCATTTTGGTTTCTTTAAGTAATTACTTACAGATCAGTTTCCAAGCGAAAATTATTATGTATTTAATATGTTTTAGTATATTTTGTTCGCTAAGTAAACTTTTTTAAATTTTTTTACATACAATCAAATCGGTGAATATTAGGAGCTTTACTTTCTTTGTTGTTCTCATTTTTCTATGCAAAATATCTTTTTGAATTGATAATTCTTGATATGATAGTAAATTTTATATTTACCTTTCCCAGTACGAGTGAATTGAAAATTTCAATAAATTTTTCGGAACAAAATGTAATTATTTTGGGAAACATATCCAGATAGAGAAATATTTGAGTTCTTCTTTGTTATGTATTGAAATTTTTAACTATATAGATAAATTGAAAATCTTTTTAAAAGTTTTTCTTGTTTGTGAGAGTAAACTTATGAAAATAGTTCTCTTAAAACAACGCATATTCATCAAAATACATTCATTTTTTTAACTGTTTGACCTTTAAAATCTATGCAACATTCTAGGTGGAGTCATTAACAAATTAACTTCTGTAAAAATAGCTTTTGCGTCTATATAGATAAAGATAAAAAATTGAAGTTTCAAGAACTAGAAATGTCATTCTTCTATAGAAGAAAATATTTGTAACTAATTGATTATTTCTTTTAAATGTAGTTATTTCTTTACTTAATCAATGAGTATTTATTTCGTTTCTTATTATATGTTTTTATTTGGTATATTGATACAACATATTATTAATTTAAATGATAGCTTCCGTAGGGTGATTATCCCTTTATCAAATTGATACGGGAAAGCTGTTGTCATATGAAGAATTGAATAGAAGAAGGTTCTTAGTGGCATTTTAGTGAGTTTGAAAAAATCAGCTTCAAAAAATATATCACCATGAGAAAACTGTTTACGAAACATATTTCCTTAGTGAAAATGATCTTAACTTATGATTTAGAAAATAATCAGTTCATACATACAGTTTACACGCTTTTACGCATACTTACATACAGTTACACTCTTTTACACCCAAAATTTCAGTTTTTTAGGAAGATATTTGACGTGTGTGTGTGTGTCTGTGTGCATTACAATAAACTCTTCTATTATAAATTTATTTTTAAATACTATTGCCTGTAGTATTTGCTTATTTAATGGTTTCAAGAATTCCTTTTAATTGAATACAG